GAAGTGGAGCGCAGCCTGGAGTCGATGACTGCTGAGCGTGATGGTCTGCAGCAACGACTGACATCGACGTCGGAGGAGCTCTCTGAGCAGCTGCAGACAATGGAGCAGGCGAAGGCGGAAGTGGAGCGCAGCCTGGAGTCGATGACTGCTGAGCGTGATGGTCTGCAGCAACGACTGACATCGACGTCGGAGGAGCTCTCTGAGCAGCTGCAGACAATGGAGCAGGCAAAGTCGGAGGTTCTGCAGTTGAAGAGGGAAAATGAGTCTCTTGCCTCAGAGCTGAAGAAATCTTTGGTTCAATGTGAGTCAGCAAACGTTCGCCTTAATTTGTGGAGGTCTAATGGTAAGTTAAACGATGGCCAGTCCTTTGTTTCAGAGTATCCTTTGACGCGATCTGTCGTAGGTTTGAAGAAGTGAGTTCGTTTTGTTTTTTCGTTATTGTGGTTTTTGTATTGATTGCTGTTGTGTATTGTTTTCTTTCCAATTGTTAGTGTTATTTTTTTTTGTGCTTGTTTTAATTGTTTTCTTTGTGAGGTTGTTTTCTTTTGTGGTGGAGATTGGTGGTTTGTTGGTTTTGTGTCTTGATTGCATGTTTTGCTTATTTGTGTTGTTTTACGTCTCTTTTTATTTATTAGAGAGCATTACTGATGAAAGGTGTCCTTCCTTTATTTGTGGGAGTATATATATATCTGTATATATATATTTTGTTTCTTTTTTGGTGTGGAACTTGCTTTAAAGTGTAACGGTTCAATGTACGCCGAATCCATCTGAATTCTTTCTTTTTTGAAATGTTCGAGACGGTGATCAGAGGGGGGACTTGTATGCATCGTATTTTACACGTACGAAATACTGGTATTGATGGGGTGTGTTTTTTTGTTTTTGTTTTTCTGGGGGTAATTAAAATGTGAGTAGAATGTAATACTAAGTTAGTGTGACGTAATACACTTTTTTTTCTAGTATAGAAATTTAAGATGTTTTTTTTTTTAGGTGATAATGAAGAGAGGCCGAACTGTAGTGCTTTGTAAATGATCTGAGTGACGTGCAGTTTTTTTTTTTTGTTTTTGTTCTTACTTTAAATGCTACTTCTTCGTTTTTCATTTTTTTTTTTCATTTTTTTTGTTACGGTACTGTTTTTTCGCCTATGCATCTTGAAAATACGAATTTTTTTTTCTGCTTACTTTTTGGTTTTGTTGCTGTAAGAGTGACTCATATTTATTTTGTTTGCCGTTTTGGTTGATCGTTGTTAAGTGAAGTAGAATATGTTCGTTTGGTGGGAAGTGCGTATATTCACACGTACACATATCCTTTTTATTATGTGTGATATTGCGCTGGGTGCAACTTGTAGGCGTGGGTGAGGGAACAGTGTTGAGGTTCATGCTTCTCTAGGAAAACAAAGAGAATGATAATGCTGTAATATAATTATTTATTTTTTTTTTAATGTAAACTCTTTTGATGTCCGCTCATTTTTTTTTTCTCATTCTTTTCATTCTTTGATTTTGATCGTTTTTTTTTTTTTCATAGTTTATACACATCTTGGCATTTCTGCAAATAGAGTTAAATTGCAGGAGTGTGGGTGAGGGGTATTGGGAAAGAAGACCTTAACTTAGATTGATCAACACACCAGGCATAACCTTAAATTAAAGGGAGAGTTACCAGCAGTTGCAAATAACCGATTGTTATTCTTCGTTGCTGAAGTAAGACATTGCTTAATTGATCTTGTAGACAAAAAGAAAAAAATCGTCTTGACGAAGTTTGTTAAAAAGAAAAAAGAGAAAAAAACACCGTGTACGCTATTTTGCTTATTTAACACGAAAAAAAGAAAACGTTACAAAAAAAAAAAAAAAAAAAACTCACACAACGACTCTGGCACCAACAGTAGATTATATAGTTTAGAACACCACATATTCCTTCTTTCACTCACTGACAAAAGAGACACAAAAAGAAAACAATAGGTCGGTGCTTCTTGTACAACATTTTATTATTTTTATTAATTAAAGAAAAAAGTAGAAGTTAAGGTGCTAGAGCAGTCACGGTCAAGATCACTTTCAATTAGATTCACATAAAAAGAAACACACAAAAAAAAAAAGAGTTAGATTTCAAGGTATATATACATTTATATATTACGTACGAGAAGCGTTTAAGCACAGGAAATTGTACGTATAACTTAAACGAAAACCAACAATAACAATTCTTACTTGTATTGCAGAAACTGTAAGTATAAAACGGCAGCTGAAAAGCCTGAAAACACCAACAAAAAAAAAAAAAAGAAACCAATCTGTACAGACCGTTAAACACGGCGATAAAGAAAAAAGATAACCAAAGAGGAATTGATGAGTCCCAAAGCAAAGTCCAGGTCTCCTCGCCCAAAGGAGGTACCACCAGCTCCAAGTACAATCGGAGATGATGATAGAGTGACGGGAGAGTCAGAGAGTGTAAAGGTTGCTGTGCGAGTGAGGCCTTTCTCTGAGAGGGAGAACAACGCGTCGTTGACCAGTATCGTAACAATGAACGTGAAAAACAAAGTGGTAACTATAAAAAATCAAAATTCCAAGGAAAAGAACCCCACATCAGGGAAAAAGTCGTTTCAGTTTGATAATGTTTTCTGGTCCCTTGAAACCCCTGACGAGTCTGGTGGTCGTCCTGTCGGGCAGCTGGATGTGTACGAGGCGATAGGACGACCGCTTGTGCGCCACGCTTTCAATGGATTCAACTCATGCCTATTTGCATACGGGCAGACTGGCAGTGGGAAGACATACACGATGATGGGTGGTGACACGACATCACTTGGTGGTGTGGACGCTGGCGTAACGCCACGACTGTGTCTGGAGCTTTTTCAGACGCGTGAGCAAATCGAGGCGGAGGGCCACTCAAAGTGGACGGTGGAGGTTGGATACATCGAGGTGTACAATGAGCGGGTGTCGGACCTGCTTGCGAAGCGCAAGAAGGGCTCAAAGGAGGAGGTGTTTGTGGAGGTGCGTGAGCACCCGACGAGGGGTGTGTTCATTGAGGGTCAACGGTTCTGCGAGGTGTCGTGCCTGGGGGACGTTGTTGAGCTGATTGAGGCGGGAAACCGCGTGCGCCACACAGCGGCTACTAAGATGAATGACCGCAGCAGTCGCAGCCACGCGATTTTCATGCTAATGCTGCGCGAAGAGCGGTCGATGGTGACCGCAACGGGGCAGACGATCACTACAGCTGGCAAGAACAGTCGGATGAATCTTGTAGACCTCGCCGGGTCAGAGCGCGTCGCGCAGTCTGAGGTTGTTGGACAGCAGTTTAGCGAGGCGCGGTACATCAACCTCTCGCTGACGACGCTTGGGCGTGTGATTGACATGCTAGCCGATATGGCAAAAAACGCGGACAGCCAGTGGTCGATGCCACCGTACCGTGAGTCTAAGCTGACGTTTATTCTGAAGGATTCGCTTGGTGGCAATTCGAAAACATTCATGATTGCGACGATCAGCCCGAGCGTGATGAACTATGAAGAGACACTGAGCACATTGCGCTATGCTTCCCGAGCGCGTGACATTGTCAATGTGACGAAGGTGAACGAGGACCCGCGTGCACGGCGCATCCGCGAGTTGGAGGAGCAGATGGAACAGATGCGACGGGATATTCAGGGTAAGGACCCTGCGTATGTGGCGGAGCTGGAGGAGAAGCTTGTGCTCCTGGAGGCAGAGGCCCAGAAGCGTGCTGCGGATCTCCAGGCTCTGGAGAAGGAGCGCGAGAAGAACGAGATCCGTGAGATGATGCTCCGTGCGACGGAAGTAGAGCGCCAGGAGTTGCTGGGAAAGGCTAGTGAACTCGAGCGGCAGGTGGATGAGTCGCGAAGGCAAGCAGCCATTTTGTCCGAGAATAATGCTAGGTTATTGCGTGAGCGTGATGAAAAGGAGAAGATGATGTTGCAAAAACTTCGTGAACGGGAAGTTTCATTAGAGAACCACCAGGAAGAGTGGCGGAGTGCTTTGGAGATAGAACGCGCTTCTGTTCGACATCTGCGTGTCTCGTGTGATTTGTATCGAATGCAAATTGAAGAAATGAATACGCGATACGAGGCGTCTGTCGAATATTTCATGGGATTGTTGAATTACAATGCTTTGTTTTGGGTTTCCGGTTCGGAACAACAGCTAAAGCACCGTGAGAAGGAGCGACAGAAAGCTGTTGAGGAGCAATTGAGGGATAGTGCGGAGGAGGTGGCTCGGCGTCAGCGTAAGTGGGATTTGGCTATGGAGGAATTAAGAAAGGAGAAAGAATCCACTGCTGAAGCCTTACAGAAATTAAGTCTGGATCAAAGGAATACACTGATAAATCTAGAGTCTCTCCAAAAAGAAAATGATTCGATTACAGAAAGACTTGCAGCGGAAAGTCAGCGGTGCAAGGAGCTGGAAGCCAAGCTTGGTACTTCAGAGACACTGCATAAAAAGCTTGAATCGGCAAACAATGAACTAGAGAAAATATTGAAGGAAACCAAAGAGGAGGTGCAGGCGGGTGAAGTGAGGCTCAAGGATGCCGCAGCAGAACGTGAATCAATGAGTAATGATTTGTTATCTTTGAAAGATAAGAAAACTGAATTACAACACCTGTATGACAGCATGGAAGCTGAGCTTGGTGAAATGAATAATAAGTACCTAAACATTGAAGAAAAACTTAACCATGAAATTTTGACAAAAAAGAGCCTTGAAGAGGAATTACAGAGTGTACAAAAGGCAGAAAACGAGCTACAACATAAGTTAGATGCTTTGATACTTCAAAATAACGAAATATCACAGCAACTCCTTTATGCTAAAACGGAACTAAATGAAAACGTTATAACAATAAAAAATCTCCACAACGAAGTAGACAAACTAGCTGAGAACCTTCATATTGCAGAAGAGGCAAAAACAGAAGTAGAGCACAACCTAGACTTTTTAATCAGTGAACGTGACGAGATAGTACATAACCTTCGTTCGACCGAGGACGCCAAGGCTGAGGTGGAGAAGAACCTTGAGACTATGACTGGTGAGCGCGACGAGCTTGCGGAGAACCTGCGTGCTACTGAGGACGCCAAGGCTGAGGTGGAGAAGAACCTTGAG